CCATGCCCAGCTTATTTTTTGTATTTTTAGTAGAGACGGGGTTTCACCATGTTGACCAGGATGGTCTCGATCTCTTGACCTCGTGATCCACCCGCCTCGGCCTCCCAAAGTGCTGGGATTACAGGCTTGAGCCACCGCGCCCGGCCCTTGTCTCCTATTTTTAAAAATTTGTGCCTCTTGCTGCTTGCTGCTGATTTATCGCATTGGGTAGGACGTCCAAAAATACTGAAATAGAGCAGTGATAGAATGATATTTGCTGTAGTTTTTAGTTCTGGGTACATACAAGGCTTACTTATATTTCTAGGTGACTAAGCGTTTTTAAAAGAAGTCAGTGATGAATTTTATGGAATGTCTTTTCAGCAACAATTAAGTTGGTCATGGTTTTTCTCTTTTCCTAAGGTTAAACCATCCTAACATTTCAGTGTTGATAGTAGTGGTAATCACAGCTTTGCTATCTGACATTTATTAAGTGTTATTATGCCATTCAGTAATCTTAGCTCTTTATGCTCAACTTACCATCATAACTCTTTTTTTTTTTTATGGTGAAAAGATATACATATATTTAGAATTAGCCAGCTGGACTCAGTTTAGATGATCCCAATTTTGTTGGCAACATCCAAACCATCGTAATCAGGAGCCAGTCGAACATATGCCTTCTTCTCTCCATCAGGCTGAATCAGGGTGTTGACCTTGGCCACATCAATGTCCTAGAGCTTCTTCACAGCCTGTTTGATCTGGTGCTTGTTGGCTTTAACATCCACAATGAACACAAGTGTGTTGTTGTCTTCTGTCTTCTTCGTGGCAGACTCAGTGGTCAGCGGAAACTTGATGATAGCATAGTGGTCCAGTTTGTTTCTCCTGGGGGCGCTCTTCCGAGGATATTTGGGCTGCCTCCGGAGTCGCAGTGTCCTGGGCCACCGGAAGGTGGGTGACGTGCGGATCTTCTTTTTTTTTGTGGCTGTGGACACCTTTCAACACTGCCAACACTGCCTTCTTGGCCTTTAAAGGCTTCGCTTTGGCTTCGGCTTTAGGAGGGGCAGGAGCTTCCTTCTTCGCTTTCGGTGCCATCTTGTGAAAAGGGTCCACCATCATAACTCTTTCATGGAATCTTTGGGTGTTGCTGTTCTGGCCGGAAACCTCTGTGACCTGTGGCACCTTTGCCCAAATTTTGCTTTGGCTGCTGGGCTGATTCTGCCCACCTGGTCTGGCAGGCTGCACTTGGCTCATGTTACCAGCCTGGATCCCATGCCTGCCAAAGGCAAGCCAGGCCTGGAGTGGTGAGGGGTGTGTGAGCGTGAGGTCTGGCCACTGTGCACAGACATGCCAGCTGCTGCCATGGGGCAGGCAGATCCAAGTGCCAGCACGGGAGCCAGCTCTCTGTGAGGCTGTGGCAGGACCAGGCACATGGTCAGCAGCTTCCCCAGCTGGCACTGTGGAATGCAATAGTGTCCAAAAGCTTGGAGGTGCAAGGTACCACAGGACCACAAAGAGGGAGTCACAGCTCTGGCTCAGAGAACTCCCAGGTCTGGGCTCGCCGAGGGGCTGCAGCTCTTCTCTCCTTCTCTTTGCCCGCAATGTGGCAAGCAAGGGGCATATTTCAGCCCTGTTTGTTAACAGCTCTTTTAGCTCTGCCATTTGATCAGTCCTGAGTTCTTGTCCTACAACCGGGAAGAATGAGGTAGGCAGACAAGTGGACAGTGAGCAAGTTGAAGAAAAGGTTTATGGGGGTAGCTCCTTTCTGCAGCTGGGGCGTCCCAGTGAATGTTCAGCTCCTAGCAGAGGAGACCCTGGAGTGGGAAGCTCCTCTCTGCAAGCAGGACATCCTGTCATCTCCGCGGCTCTCAGCAGAGAGAAGGCCTTAGAGTGGGCTGCTCCTCTCTGCAGGCAGACCCTCTCAGAGCTCTTTTCTGGGGTAGCTCCTTTCTGCAGCTGGTCTGCTCATCCTCTGCTCAACTGTGACTGAGCCTAGGGCTTTTATGGGGCTCAGAGGGAAGGAAGTGCCTGCCGATTGGTCCATGGGTGGCCATGAGCGGCCAGGAAAAGGCACCACAAGTTCCCACTCCAGTCTGTGGGACTGGCAGCCCAGTCCCCAGCCTTCATGACTGTCCTGGCCTGAAGGTGGGGCCTCAGCAGGGACCCACCCATTTCACCATCTTCTGTCTGCCTCCTGTGCCATTCATGGCTCCTGGGCTTGCCCCAAATTTGCTTGGAGATCAGAGCTGGCACTGACAGCAGGGAGAAGCCAGGCAGCAGGAGCAGGAGCTTCCAAGCCTACAAGGGCAGGGATACACTCCTGGGCACCCCAAAGTGCAGGGATGCCTGAGTCAGCAGATGCAGTTTATGTGGCTGCAGCTGAGTAGAGGTGGAGGGGGGCAGGGCTCCTGCTTGCTCCATGGAGCTGGAGACCTGGGTCTGTAGCTATGGTTTGGATAGCTGCAGCTGCACCAGAGAGTACAGGGAGGCTGGGATCTGCACCCAAAACTTGGGTGGCTGCAGCCCAGCCCAGGAAGGCAGGGCTCCTGCCTCCTCCGTGGAGTGGGAAGCCCAGGTCTGCAGTGTGCTTTGGGGGTGGCTACAGCTGTGTCCAGTAGGACAGAGATCCTGCCTGCTCCATGCAGCAGGAGGCCCGGGTCTGCAGCCCGTGTTTGGGGGGCTGCAGTGGCATCTGGTAAGCCCCCACCCCAACTAGGAAGTGGAGAGGCTTCCATTGTGCCCCCGTTTCCTCAGGCTCCATGGAGCATGCAGCCCAGTGGCACCTCCCTGCTGCACCCCAAGTGATGGCAAAGGCAGGCCGTCTGGAGTACCTCTGCCATCCACCCTACGAGATAGCTACTACTCTATTATTACCATGTTGTTTTATGAATGGGGAAAATGAGGTACTGAAAAATGTAAAAACTTGTCTCTAAGTTACTTAGCCACTTTTTGGGCATAAAATTATTATTCATTTAGAACTCTGCTGATTTTAATTTTCCTGCTTTTTTTTCCAGAGATTTTACAACTATATTCATAAGTGAAATTAGTCTACAATTTTCTGTTTTGGTGTGCTGCCATCTAGTTTTAATACAAAGATTATGGTTTTCTCAAAGCATTAGTTTGGAAATGTTCTTCCTTTTTCTGTGCTTTGCTATTTCCCATTTCATTTTTAAAATTAGCTGCTATTATATTTAATAATAGCAACCATTTACTGAGCACTTACTTGAGTTAGGCACTATGTAAAACCCTCCTCAATTTGTTTCAATGTGTTCCTCACAATTGAAAAACATATCTATTTCTCATTTATAAGATGTATTAGTTCATTCTCATGCTGCTATAAGGAACTGCCCAAGAATAGGTAATTTATAAGGAAAAGAGGTTTAATTGACTCACAGTTCCACATGGCTAGGAAGGCCTCAGGAAACTAACAACCGTGGTGGAAGGCACCTCTTCACAGTGTGGCAGGAGAGAGAATGAGTGCAAGTAGGGGAAATGCCAGATGCTTATAAAACCATCAGATCTCATGAAACTCACTCATTATCACGAGAACAGCATGGGGGGCTGCCCCTATGATCCAATTACCTCCACCTGGTCCCACCCTTGACAAGTGGGGATTATTTCAATTCAAGGTGAGATTTGGGTGGGGACACGAGCCAAATCATATGATAAGATTTTTTTTTAAAGTTTTTTTGTCCAAGGTTCCACAGCTAATATGGATAGATAGGGTACGAATGTAGGCTCTCTCACTTTAGAGCTTGGGTGTATTCTTAACTTCTGTCCTGTAGTGTCTTCCCTCTACCTCCCTGTACAATAAAGGTCCCACAAGATAGCCTACATTCCTGTTTTATTCATTTCATGATCACTCTGCTTCAGCTCTTTTCTTTGCACGGCCTATATGTTGAAGTTCCCTCAGTTCTAGTGTTACGAATCTTTGCCAGAAATTAGAAATACTTTGTTGTCCATATCCTTTGACTCAGAATTTCACTTACAGATTAAAACTAAAGAAAATCACACAAGCAATAACGTTTTTCTATATAAAAGGAGATGTACTCCATCATTGTTTTTAAAGGAAAAATTAGAAGCAATCTATGTGCCCGTTGATAGGTGATTGTTGAAAATAAGATGTCTTTTCAAAGACAGTATCTATCACTTACTCATCTGTTATCATGTCAGCCATTCTGAAAATTCTTTTTATACATTATCTAATTTTAGCAGCAATTATGGTAGATGTTATAATCTCCCTTTCTCAGTTAATGGAACTAAGTAAGGCTGACAGAGATGAAATGATTTGCTCAAGGTCCTGCTGCCAGTACATGTGGATTCAGGATTTGACCATGACTGCCTGATACCAAAGGAGATGCTCATAGCTACTTCATTTAATACATGTACTAGAATACCAGGAAGCAAATAAAAATAATAATATAGACCTAAATTTCATATATAGAGATATCCATTGTGTGTTGTGAGCAAAAGCAGGTGATTAAATAGCATATACAGAATGAAGCTGTATGAATACTGTCTTCTGCATCTTTTACATTATTAACAGAAAAAAATACCTCACTATTTTATTTTTGAAAAAAAGAAAAACCTAAGTTTTCGGATCTCACATGTGCAGACACTATGGTAAATAATCATTAAAAACAAAACTAGGGCGGGTGTGGTGGCTCACGCCTGTAATCCCAGTACTTTGGGAGGCCAAAGTGGGTGGATCACGAGGCCAAGAGTTGGAGACCAGTCTGGCCAACATGATGAAACCCCATCTCTACTAAAAATACAAAAATTATCCAGGCATGGTGACACATGCCTGTAATCCCACCTACTCCAGAGGCTGAGGAAAGACAATTGCTTGAACCTAGGAGGGGGTGGTTTCAGTGAGCCTAGATCGTGCCACTGCACTCCAGCCTGGGTGACAAAGCAAGACTCCATCTCAAACAAACAACCAACCAAAACTAAACTCTTGGTACATTTTAATCCTAATCCTAATTATAATGACATGAAATAACTACATTCTCTCTTCATTCTTTTAGGTTTGAGATCAGAAGGGAGAAGGAAGACAACAATGCAAAAGGGGATGTTTTTGAGAAGTGTTGCTTGATGATGCATTTTAGGTTTCACCATGTTGGTCAGACTGGTCTCGAACTCCTGACCTCAGGTAATCCACCTGCCTCAGCCTCCCAAAGTGCTGGGATTACAGGCATGAGCCACCACACCTGGCCAATTAGGCCTCAGTGTGCAGACATTAATCAGTGGTTTTAATGTCAACATTTTACCTTTATTTATTTTCTTCCTAACCTATATGTCATTATTGGCATTGTTTTATTGCTGTATACATTTTGCACTCCAGATGACATTATTATTTCTGTTTTTACATAGCTGATAATCATTTTCATTTACCTACATGTTTACCATTTAAATTTTCCTTTATTCTTTCTTCTCTCTCTGACCATTCATCTGGGACCATTTTTTCTGCCTGAAGAAAATCCTTCAGGCAGAAATTTCCTTTAGTGTGGGTCTACTAGAAACAAAATCTTTCAGTTTTTGTTTGAAAATATCTTTAACTTTATTCTTTTTTTTTTTTTTTTTTTTTGAGACAGAGTTTTGCTTTTGTTGCCCAGGCTGGAGTGCAATGGCATGATCTCAACTCACTGCAACCTCCACCTCCCAGGTTCAAGTAATTCTCTTGCCTCAGTCTGCCAAGTAGCTGGGATTACAAGCATGTGCCACCACGCCTGGCTAATTTTGTATTTTTAATAGAGACAGGGTTTCTCCGTGTTGGTGAGGCTGGTCTCAAACTCCCAACCTCAGGTGATCCACCTGCCTCAGCCTCCCAAAGTGCTGGGATTACAGTTGTGAGCCACTGTGCCTGGCCAACTTTATTCTTGATGAATATTTTCACTGGGTATAGAATTTTAAGATGGAAATTCTTTTATCTTAGTACTTTCACAATAATCATTTCTTTATTTTCTGGCTTCCAGTATTTCTTTTGAGAAGGTCAATTGGCAATATTATTATTGCTTCTTTGAAGATAATCTGTGTGGTATTTTATTATGTGACTATGTTATAATTTGTGTATCAATTTTACTATTGATGTATATTTAACTTAGTTTCGGATTTTGGCTATTAAAAATACTGCTATAAGCATTTTAATATATCTTCTGGTGTATGTATGCATTAATTAATTGCTCTTGGGTATATATTTAGGACTTGAATTACTGAATCATAAGGTATGCATATGTTCAGCTTTACTATTTATTGATGAACAGTTTTCTAAAGTGATTTTGTCAAGTTTTACCCTTACCAGATGGACATGAGAGTTTCAGTTACTCTATGTCCTTACCGACTTTTAGTATTGTCAATTTCACACACTATGAACCATTCTGGTGGGTGTGTAATGGTATCTCATTGTGGTTTTAATTTTCATTCTCTCAATGATTAATGATACTGAACGTTTTACATGTTTATTGGCTATTTGAATTCCTCTAGTGGTTAGGAATGTTGAGAATCTTTTCATGTGTTTATTAGCCATTTGTGTATCTTCCTTAGAAAAATGTCTAGTCATATCCTTTACCCCCCCCCCCTTTTTCCTTTTGAGCTGGAGTTTTGCTTTTATCACCTAGGCTGGAGTGCAGTGGCATGATTTCAGCTCCCTGCAACCTCCATCTCCTGGGTTCAAGCCATTCTCCTGCCTCAGCCTCCCAAGTAGTTGAGATTACAGGGGTCTGCCACCATGTCCAGCTAATTTTTGTATTTGTAGTAGATATGAGGTTTCACCATGTTGGCCAGGCTGGTCTCCTACTCCTGATATCAGGTGATCTGCCTACCTCGACCTCCCAAAGTGCTGGAATTGCAGGCATGAGCCACTATGCCCAGCCCTCTTTTGTTCATTTTTAAATTGGAGTTTTTGCTGTTGTAGACATTCTTTATACATTCTAGATATTAACCCTTTTCAGGTATATGATTTGCAAATATATTCTCCCATTGTATTGGTTACCCTTTCACTCAGTTTCTTATATCCTTTGAGGCACAGGAATTTTAAATTTTGATGTAGTCTAAGTGATCTATATTTTATTTTGTTGCCTGTGCTTTTGGTGTTGCATTCAAGAAATCATTGCCAAATCCAATGTCATGAAGCTTCCCCTTGTGTTTTCTTCTACAAGTTTTATAGTTTTAGGTCTTATGTTTAGGTCTGTGATCCATTTTGGGTTAATTTTTGTATTTGGTGTAAGGTCCAACTTCATTCTTTTGCATGTGGATATCCAATTTTCACACCACCATTTGCAGAAAAGACTTTTCTTTTCTTGTTGAATGATATTGACACCCTTGTCAAACATCATTTGAGCACATATGCAGAGGTTTATTTTTGGGCTCTCTAGTCTATTCCATTGGTCTATGTGTTTATCTTTATGCCAGTACCACATTGTTTTGATTACTGTAGCTTTATAATAAGTTTCGAAATCAGGAAATGTGAGACCTCTGACTTTGTTTTTGCAGATTGTTTTGTCCCTTGAGATTTCATCTTAGTTTGAGATGGATTTTTGTTTTCATAGAATCGTTGCCCAGGAAATGTTTTAATTTCTAAAAAGAAATCATTGGGATTTTGATAAACATTATATCAGATCTGTAGATCCCTTTTGGTAATAGCGACTTCTTAACAATATTACATCTTCCAATCTATGAACATGGATTGGAAAGGATATTCCACTTAAGGGTGTCTTCCTTAATTTCTTTCAGCAATATTTTGTAGTTTGCAGTGAACAAGACTTTTGCCTCCAAGGTTATTCCTAACTATCTCATTCCTTTGATGCTGTTGTAAATAAAATTTTGTTCTTAATTTCCTTCCTGGATTGTTCATTGTTAGTGCATAAAAAGCAACTGATAATTGCATGCTGATTTTATATCTTGTAACTTTGCTAAATTGGTTTATTAGTTTCAACACTTTTTTTGGTGGCATTTTAGGGTTTTCTGCATATAAGACCAAGTTTTCTGTGAACAGAGATAATTTTACTTCTTCCTTTCCAATTTGGATGCCTTTTATTTCTTTTCCTTGCCTAATTTATCTGGCTGAGACTTCTAGTACTATGTTGAATAGAGTGATGAAAATAGACATTCTTGCTTCTAATTTAGAGGAAAAGTTTTCAGTCTCATATTTGTTAAATAGGGACTTCTTTCTCCCTTGCTTGTTTTTGTCAGGTTTGTCAAAGATCAGATGGTTGTAGATATGTGGCATTATTTCTGAGATCTCTGTTCTGTTCCATTGGTCTATGTATGTGTTTTGGTATCAGTACCATCCTGTTTTGATTACTGTAGCCTTGTAGTATGTTTGAAGTCAGGTAGCGTGATGCTTCCAGCTTTGTTCTTTTTGCTTAGGAATGTCTTGGCTATACATTATTTTTTTGTTACATGTGAAGTTTAAAGTTTTTTCTAATTATCTGAAGAAAGTCAATGGTAGCTTGATGGGGATAGCATTGAACCTATAAATTACTTTGGGCAGTATGGCCATTTTTACAATATTGATTCTTTCTATCTATAAGCATGGAATGTTTTTCCATTTGTTTGTTTCCTCTCTTATTTCCTTAATCAGTGGTTTGTAGCTCTCCTTGAAGAAGTCCTTCACATCCCTTGTAAGTTGTATTTCTAGGTATTTTATTCTCTGCGTAAGAATTGTAAATCGGAGTTCACTCATGATTTGGCTCTCTGTTTGTCTATTATTGGTGTATCGGAATGCTTGTGATTTTTGCACATTTATTTTGTATCCTGAGACTTGGCTGAAGTTGCTTATCAGCTTAAGGAATATTTGGGCTGAGACAATGGAGTCCTCTAACATACAATCAAGTCATCTGCCAACAAAGACAATTTGACTTCCTCTCTTCCTATTAGAATATCATTTATTTTTTTCTCTTGCCTAATTGCCCTGGCCAGAACTTCCAATACTGTGTTGAATAGGATTGGGGAGAGAGGGCATCCTTGTCTTGTGCCTGTTTTCAAAAGGAATACTTTCAGCTTGTGTCCATTCAGTATGATATTGGCTGTGGGTTTGTCATAAATAGCTCTTACTATTATGAGATATGTGCCATCATTCCTAGTTTATTGAGAGATTTTTTGTAGGTTTGTTTATTGTTGTTGTTTTTAGCATGAAGAGATGTTGAATTTTATTGAAGGCCTTTTCTGCATCTATTGATATAATCATGTGGTCTTTGTCATTGGTTCTGTTTATGTGATGGATTAGGTTATTGATTTGTGTATGTTGAACCAGCCTTGCATCCCAGGGATAAAGCCAACTTGATCATTGTGGATAAGGTTTTTGATGCGTTGCTGGATTTGGTTTGCCAGTATATTATTGAGTTTTTGCATGGATGTTCATCAGTTGTATTGATCTGAAATTTTCTTTTTTTGTTGTCTCTGCCAGGTTTTGGTATCAGGATGATGCTGGCCTCATGAAATGAGTTAGGGAGGAGTCTCTATTTTTCTATCATTTGGAATGGTTTCAGTAGGAATGGTACCAGCTTCTCCTTGTATCTCTGATAGAATTCAGCTGTGAATCTGTCTGGTCCTGGACTTTTTTTGGTTGGTAGGCTATTAATTACTGCCTCATTTTCAGAAGTTCTTATTGGTTTATTCAAGGATTCGACTTCCTCCTGGTTTAGACTTGGGAACGTGTATGTGTCCAGGAATTTATCCATATCTTCTAGATTTTCTAGTTTATTTGTATAGAGATGTTTATAGTATTCTCTAACGGTAGTTTGTATACCTGTGGGATCAGTGGTGATATCCCTTTTATCATTTTTTATTGTGTCTATTTGATTCTTCTCTCTTTACTTCTTTATTAGTCTGGCTAGCAGTATATCCATTTTGTTTATCTTTTCAATAAGCCAGCTCCTGGATTCACTGATAAGAAATAAGAGAGGACACAAACACATGGAAAAACATTTCATGCTCATAGATAAAAAGAATCAATATCATGAAAATGGCCATAGTGCCCAAAGCAATTTATAGATTCAATGCTATCCCCATCAAGCTACCATTGACTCTCTTCAAAAAATTGGAAAAAACTACTTTAAACTTCATATGGAACCAAAAAAGAGCTCATATAGCCAAGAAAATCCTAAGCAAAAAGAGCAAAGCTGGAGGCATCACGCCACCTGACTTCAAACATACTACAAGGCTACAGAAACCAAAACAGCATGGTACTGATACCAAAACACATATATAGACCAATGGAACAGAACAGAGGCCTCAGAAATAATGTCACACATCTGCAACCATCTGATCTTTGACAAACCTGACAAAAACAAGCAAGGGAGAAAGGAGTCTCTATTTAACAAATGGTGATGGGAAAACTGGCTAGCCATATGCAGAAAACCGAAACTGAACCCCTTCCTTACACCTTATACAAAAATTAACTCAAGATGGATTAAAGACTTAAACGTAAAATCTAAAACCATAAAAACCCTAGAAGAAAACCTAGGCAAAATTGTTCAGGACATAGGCAGGGGCAAAGACTTCATGACTAAAACACCAAAAGCAATGGCAACAAAAACCAAAATTGACAAAGAGGATCTAATTAAACTAAAAAGCTGCACAGCAAAAGAAACTA